AAAGCTTAGATAGTTTATTTATATCCAATATTTTATGAATTATAGAGTTATAATTCTATAGTTGATAGTTATAGTGATATAAATAAGAGAGGATAACTTAAGAAAAGATAACATAACTTAATATAACAAAAACTTTAATAAAATTTAATTACTATTCTTGTAGAAGTATAAAATGGTCATATGAGTATAAATTAAAAGTTACTATAAGTGGTGGTGTGATAGATATGTCTAAAAAAGAAATTATTAATTAACTTACCTGAAATAATGTTGTCGTGAGAGAATCATTCTGGAAGTCACTAACAAGGTTTGTAACTTGAACTATTGAAGAAGGATAACAAAAGGAAGAAGAGAGTAAGTAAATAATAATAAATATATTTGACATTATTATTTATTTTTATTTTTTAGATAATAATTTAAAATACAATGCTAAATTATATTTGCTTTTAAACTTTTTTATATTTTGTTTTTTTAAATTTTTTTGTAAGTAAAAAAATATTTGTTAATTTAATAAATATATTATTGGTTTTATTATTTTTAATTAAAAAATATTTTGATTTTGATTTTTTATTATTGATTAAAAATGATTAAGTATTTATAATAAGATTATTATCTTAAAACCAATATTTAAAATAGGTTTATATAATATTTATATTTTATCATGGCATAATTTTATTATTAAATTATTTTTTTAAAAAAAATAGATAACAAAACAAAAACTTTTTATTAAATTAAAAGAAAGAAATATTAAATTATTTTTAATAAAAATAAATATTATATTATTTGTTTTTTTATTGCAATCAAATATTATTATTGAATTTACTGTTATATAACATAAAATATATAAAATTAGATATTTTGGTTATATATATGATTATACATGTGGCATAAATTATTTTGCTGTTGATTTAATTCCCAAAATTCTCAAAAATAATTGTATCATGACTCAATTATTTATATGTTTTAATAGTGACTCAATTAATTGCATCATATAATTGTATCAATTGCATCAAGGATCTATGAATTTCAGCAACATGTATATATATGATAGAGGTTTATAGATTTTTAATGCAATTGATACAATTATTTAATACAATTAATCAAGTTACTATTAAAACATATAAATAATCAAGATATAACATATATTTTTTAAAAATTTTGGAAATTAAATTAACAGCAAAAAAATTTAATTAAAAAAATTTTATATTAATCAATAATATTATGTATTTAAATGTCATATTGTTTTTTTTAAATATTATAATTAAAAAAAGAAAAAAATAAAGTTATTAAAGATATATCAGTTATTTTAATAATATTTTATAGTAATATTTGTTATAAATGTTCAAGTATTTTGATATATGATGAACAAAATTTATAAACAACAAATTATTTGTTAAGACAATAGTCATTAACAAAAAATAGATAATAAATAAAATTTTATTAAATTTAATATAATTTAATTATATACAGAATTTATAATGATAACATGTTTACTTGATAATATAACCATTAATTTTATTAATACTGTGAATAAAATGTTTAATACATGATATCTATTTTCGATTAATTATATAGATGCTTGTGTACTAATAGTGTAAGAATTGCTCACAAGGTTGAGCACTGCTAAGTCACATGATCTTCTATTTATCTAAAGCGGACATTTTAATATCGTACTGTAATTGAAGTCCAACACAATGTTATATTTAAATATATCGATATAATTATATAATATATATATTATTTGGCTATTCAAATTGTTACTTGCTTAAATTACTAATGATAACATAAAAATCTTATTCTGTGCGATAAATTAATGATGGTTAATATAAATGCGCGTATATACTGTACAAAAATGCATCAAAGCTTAGATATTTTTTCCTGCTAATGTAATTTACAGAGATATTCTGTTTCATAAGCTATTTGGTACCAAAAAATGGCTTTCTCGATATTTTTCGCTACCCCTCTTCCATAAAAATATCGTTTCGCCAACTCCACCATTGCCCAAACATTTCCCAATTTTGCACACTCATTAAAACATCCAAACGCATCCACCTCATTCTTTTCAACGCCTTTGCCATTCTCGTAACAAAATCCCAACGCAAGATACCCATATATGCTTCCCTCGTTCGCACATCTTCTATACCATTGAAATGCTAGCTCCTCGTTCTTTTGCGTTCCCCAACCATTTAAATAACAGTCACTGACCATTTCTTTGTCTATGAGGTAGTTCTTCTTTGCACCATTGATGAACAATCGGAATGCCATGTTAAGGTCTTGATCACATCCAACGCCCATTAGTAGAAAGAATCCAAGTAGACTTTTATATTTAAACGTGTTCTGATTATCAAATAACCATTGGTATATGTGAAACGGATTATCGTTATGTTCGTAGATTTCCGATTCCAGAATTTCCATTATTTCGTGATTTAAAGTGCATTTCAATTTTTCTTTAAGAAACGTTTCCAGAAGACTATCAACCACCTTTCTGGTTGGATTTTCACGTCGAGGAATATAGCGAGATCTTGGACTCAAATTTCTTGTACTATGTAATTTGGTAAAAAATTTATTGTATCGAAAGGATTTTGACGATCCTAGTTCAAATAATTCTTGGGTACGGATGCGATCACTTTGGTTTGCTCGCATTCTTTAATTTCAATAATTGTATTTGCACAATTTTACACATACTATGTTTTTCAAATATTTTTCGTGACAACACGAATTTTTTATGCTTAATTTTTTTTTTGAAATCACAATATCTGCTTTATATACTTTTTTTAGTTCCATTTTGATTTAAATAGCTTACGTACAGCATAATGAGCTTCGGATTCTCTCTTTCATAGCATATCCGGGGCAACAAAGTCACATGATCCCCATTTTCATTCTACATCTCATTTGGATACTGCACAAAGGTCATAGTGACATGGTGGCGTTCCACAATGACATAGTATTAACGCAACAACCGTTACGTATTTGACAAATTTTGCTAGAAAGAATTATTTTAATTTATAAATGAATGTAAATAAGTAAAAGAGCTCATACAAACCTCTTCCTTTTATTTAACCTATGATAAAAATACATCTGAAAGGTTTTTCTTGCATCATGATTCTGAATTTTCCCCACATTACATATATGATCATGCATATGAATCGATAAGGTCCGAACGGTTATAACGGTCGTCGATCCAATAACCAACTTTAGTTTACTTCTTATAATTCTTCTTTTTTCGTCTTTGCTAACCTTATGAATTTTTACGCTCAATGGAATGTGCAAAAGGACCATTTGATACATTTGCGAACATAAAGATTACTAAGATGACTGTCTGATTTGCGAATACATAGTAGAAAGATAAAATAAAATAAAGATGAAAAACAACGAAAATGAGCATAACATTATTTAATCGACAACATAAAAATGGACATTTTTTTTAATACGTACACAGTAAAATTAAGCATACTGTATACAGTAATCAATAATTTAACAACTGCGACAATCATTTCCTCTAATTTTTGTTACTGTGCTTTGTGGTAATGTTTCATAACGTAACACCGGTGGAACATTTATGCACCACGGCTATATTATTTCTCTTCTCGGTTTGTATGACGGCTATTATTACATTTATAATTTCTGTCGTGTTTTCCAGATAATTGATGTATAGAATATCTTTTATATGCAGTATCATTAAACCTTATTAATGTAATTTAAAATCAAAAATAATTTAGTTTACAATATACAGTGCTGTATATTTAAATTTTGTTACATTACAACGCGAAATGACCTGACCTTCAGATACGCAAATTAACAATAACAAAAAGAAAAAAGTTCCTTTCAATTTGAGACGTTGAGACGAAGCTTCAATTTCAAAAGGTATGAATCGTCATCTTTTGATAAATTGCGACAAAATTTACAACCTTGCTTTTATTTACATAAGGTTCATTGAATTTTCGTAACCCATAACTTGTTTCATTTGATTTGACGAAAAAAGTACGATTTATCTAATCAAGAATGCTCATTCAAGTTACAAATAAATTCTTTGTTAATATTTCACAACAAATTTACTTATTAAATATATGATTTTCGTGATTGGATACGGTTCCGGAGTCATGGAAATTCTGTACTCTGAGAATTTTCCATCTACCGTGTCTATGATTTCCAACGAAAGATTCTAAGCCGAACGGACCGGTTCGGATTCGTGTTATCTTATGATGTGTAAGAAATATTTTATTTGTATTTTTCATAGAATTTACTTCCCCAAAAACCTAGGTCATATTTCGGCATGTGACCGGATATCATATTATGTATAATTTACCTACACTTTTTACCAGAATAAAGTTTCCCCCTTTTTTCCAGTGATTGACGTACTCAATTACCATTCTTCTTTCATAAGTATTTTATGAGTCAAGTTTACAGGAACATATTGAGAGCAGAAGCCATTGAGTGCAGTATCATTGCATTCAATGCGTATCACGCAATGCGCACGCGTATACTGCGTACGTATGCAGACCTTATTTGGAAAATCTGATGCATTACACGAATAAGAAACGGAAACTCATGCGTACGACGTGGTAGATGACCTCTACACAATAACAAATATGGAAATGATGAGAATGAAGCTTTAACGTGAAACATCCGTTTCTCTGATCAGATGTTTGGAATTGAGAATCTGCGATGGACATAATTGTCGTTTTGAAACGAATTACAATGCAGGGCTTTCTAAAATGTAGTCGCATCCCCTGCCCACGAGTTATAATATACTAATTATGGAATAAGTGTATTCAAATTTGGAATTAAAGAGACCTAAAGAAAAACTGGTGAAAAAGTATAAAATAAACGGATACGGCCAGATTTTTGAATCACATTCGCTGCATTCTATTGAAGCATAACACACTTGTAAATTCATCTTAGATAAATCATTTCATCTTCTCACCTTTGCATAGACAATATTACTTGTCAATATCTGAAATATAAACATCATACATTTATCGCATACCGTATAATACTAGAAAATGTCAGGAAAATCAGGAATTTACCTTGACGTGCCCGAATCGTTAAACTCAAATTCATCAACACTCTCAAGGACGCCAAGTATAAGAAGCTTAAGTCCGCAATCTCATTATGTACCTCAGCGTGAAAACCCAACTCGAAAGGTAGTTGATAGCCTCTTGGATACGTTCCTTGAAGAAAAATTGAAATGCTCTCCAAATAGTGTAATAATGGAAATTCTGGAATTAGAGATCTGTGAACATAACGATAATCCGTATCATATATACCAATGGTTATTTGATAATCAGAATACGCTTAAATATAAAAGCCTTCTTGGATTCTTTCTGCTAATGGGCATTGGGTGTAATCAAGACCTTAACATGGCGTATAAATTATTCATGAAGGGTGCGAGGAAGAACTACCTTATAAACAAAGAGATGGTCAGTGACTGTTACTTAAATGGTTGGGGAACGCAAAAGAATGAAGAGATGGCAGTTCATTGGTACAGAAGTTGCGCAGATGAGGGAAGCGTTTACGGATCTCTTGCGTTGGGGTTCTGTTATGCGAATGGCAAAGGTGTCAAGAAAGATGAGGTACTAGCAATTCGATATTTCCGAAGTTGCGAAAGATTTGGTAATGAATTGGCAAAGAAGGAGCTGAGGAAACTACGTTTCGATGATGAAGGAGGGGTAGCAAAAAACAAGCGTTCAAGGGTGGAAATGAGACAAAGATAAACATTGTATTTTTTTTTTTTAATCAAAACTTCTTGATACTCGAGCTTTATTATCTTCCAGTTTCTCAAATTTCATAGAGTCGCATTGTTAGAAATACATCATAGATCATAAATATATATATAGATAGATAGAAATCAAAGAATTGTATATAAATCATAGAGTATAAGCACACATTAGACCATTATATGTAAATAAAAATATCCCAGCAATTTTACCAAAATAATTGGCATCTTTTGACAAATCATCGTAAGCTTGCATTCGCACAGAATATCATTTTGTTGCGAAACTATTTGTCTCGAATGGACATAAAGTATATTTGACCTTAGGAGAACAAACATCACGTACTTTTATTTATTGATGATAAATTTTAATTTGCACCACCTTGCATAAGCAGTGGCATTGGCTTAATACGTGACGACAGTCGTAAATTTTTTCATATAATAATTCTAGATATTTCCTCAGAATCTTGGACAAGCATACAACCTACTTTAGATTTTCCAAATCCACGGGTAGATTACACTGCAACACTTTTGGAAATGGCGTTATTGTTTACATAGGTGGAAACGAATGTATCGGATGTGTCGATCAAATACAATACAAACACGAACAATAATTAGATTTTACATTATTCTTTTTGGTAAAACTATACTGTTTGTGCATTCTTCCCTTGAAATTGAATCCAATATGAATAAATAAAGTTAGTCTTTACTATGCATATCGTATCCCATATAGGTTCAA